GTACTTTCATTACACTTATTACTTTAAGTGGTTGATTGCGCAGCCACAATTCTCTTTTGAAATTTACGGACCCGGACGGACCCGGACCCATGTTATACAGTTTCGGACCCTAACTTAGATCCGAATTGGTTTTCCGGACCGGATCCGAATCTTTAAAAATATCCGCCCGGTCCGGTTCGTGCGGAACACTAGGCACAATCTCAAAGTACCATTTTTCATTTTTCGACCGGGGCGCCCCGGCTGAAATTAGTACCTAACCAAAGTTAGTCAATTAACATATATTTTTGAACCTTATCTGGCCTAAATGCGCACAATGTATGCATGTACGACGGATATCAAGTCTTATTTTTTTAACGATTCTAACCTTACATGGTTCTATAACTTGTGATGTATATATTTACATAATCTTACGTAGAAATTCTTTGTCGTGCTTTTCAGAAATTTCTCTGCCCCAACTTCTATCGTAGAAATTTTCGATGTAAGAGTGCATGTTTTTGCTTCTGTCTAACCTATCTAACATTTCGAGTTTCAGGGAAGAAAAAAACATATAAAAAGGCAGTATCTCGAAATTATGGTTATTTGTCGCTTTACAGTGATTTCATTTTTTTATAACTGCGATCTTAGTTGTTTCTAAACTACTTCTTTAGTATGCCCGCCGATTTACAAACTAAAATTTCCAATTTTTTGATGAGCGAAGAAGAAAGTCTTATAACCACTACTTCGGTTATTTACCAAGGAATAGAAGAGGAGCCTTGGATTTCGGAAGATGAGTTACGATCTATTGTAGACCAAGCAGTACGGATTGCTAGCAATTTTTGCGAGGATGGTTCTTTACGCCAGTCAAAACTTCTTCGAATACTTCCAGAGGTTCGTTATTGACAAAGGCAATTGATTTGTGATTAAACTTTTCTATAAAAATGATGATATTATGCGGTCCATCTCTAAAGACAGATGCTGAAACCAGCGTAATTATCCCATTAATTTGCTCACGGTAAACACTTACTCTCAATAGAGGGATGTTTAAGCTATAGACTGTTATGCAGTAGTGTAGTTCATTCTAGAAACCTATTGATGAGAAAAATTTACCGCCTGCAGGGAATTACGTTGTTTAGGGCAAGTCCTAACTACAATGTAGTTATTTTAGTACCACACAGAGTTTCATTTAAAGTGATGGCCACACCTAAATGAAAACTTTGCATATGTACTGATATATAATGTATTTTTTTAATGATGTGTTTTTTTATATAACTGAAACTAATACAGTCAAACCTCTCTATAATCACACCCTTAGTTTTAAGAATTTGGTGCTTATAGAGAGTTTGTGCTTATATAGAGGTCAAATTTTATAAGTGCTATATAAGTTGGTTTTAAAAATTTATGTGATTATAAGCAAATGTGACTATAGAGGAGGTGACTATAGAGAGGTCTGACTGTACATTATATTTTTTTAGTTTGGAATTGCTTTTGAAGGAGTTTGTAGTTTACGAGATCTCGGAGTTGTTAAAATAAATAAAGAGAAACCACTCAACTTGGATCAGATTAAGGATAATATAGAAAAACTAAAAGGCAAACTTAATAGAGATTCGAGCTCCCTCTATAAACGTTTATATTCCGACGTGGTTAAGAAACCTGTTGAAGAATTATCCTGGAAGGATCCTTTGGCAAGCCAAGTTATTAGCGATGAATCAGATATAGTGAAGAATCTTCCTAGGGATATCAAAAAAGGATTTAATGTAAGGAATTTCATATAGGTGTTCGCATTTTTCATCATTATTAATAATGTATATTTCATTTTAGAAAATTTCTCGCAATATGGTACCAGCTCAAAGGCCAATAGTTCAGGAGCTATGTAGAGAGTTTATAGAAGATTTTAGGTGTGATGAGAAATTAAAGCCTAAATGGACGCATAATAAATCTTGGAAAGAGTCCGAAGAAACTACTTCATGTGTTGTTAAAGAAATTTTGAGCATTCTAAAAAATATTTGGAATAACCCGGCATTCAAGCCTGAAGTCGCAAAAACATTAAATGAAGGAACGTATCAATCAACCGTGATTGTACCGTTAATCCAAGTTGTCTTAAAAAATCTTCCCGTAGGAGATTCATTTTTTATCAGTACATCAGAAAAACAAAGTATTGCTAGCGCAAATCGAAAAGGGGAGGGGGTAGGGGAAGGCGCCCAGATATTATGTTTCTAGGAGATTACCTTGAAACGACATTCGAACTTATGTATGTCGAATGCTCCCGCCTATTCTGTAGTCCACAAAAAAAGATAGATGATGAAATAAAATTATGGCGGGAGGTAAATGATGGCCTTTATTGGGTACGCCAAAGCCTCAATCCGGATAAAGAACAGTTTGGTATTGTAGGTGTTCAAGTAGCTGGGAATATATTTCACTTGAATGTTCTTGTTCGAGATAAAGTTAATGTACATAGATACTATCATCTCCAACCCGTTGAAATTCCTGTACAATTTTCAGCTGAAGGAGTTGTATCTAGATTTATAGAAACTTTATTAGTTTTACGCAATATTTTAATTACTAACTTATCTTTATTATATCATGCACCGGTATCTACATCAGAGCGGCAAAAAGAAGACTTTTCAACTGTAGACACCGACATAGAATAATTTTTATTTATCTTGTAATTTGGTTTATTTTATTTTTATATCAATAAAGTTGGCTCCGGTTGCTCGATTTCCTATACATAATCAGTTTAATTTTGCATATGTGTATTGAGTGAATTTATTGTATTGATATCGATGTATAACTCGTATATAATTGTGAATTTTTCTTGGCAAAGTGATCCGCGTTCCGAAATGGAACGCGCACGTGATTTTTTTATTTTGAATAAATCTATGCCATATATAAAAATTTTCATCAATCATGTCGTCAGAGCTTGAATTATTGAGACGAGTTACCAAACTTGAAACTGAAAATACCAAACTAAAACAGATCATCGAAAAAATTGCTAATCTTAGGATCGAAAATACAAGACTAAAACAAATCATAAAACAAAATCGGACTACTAATGATGCTTCA